GGACCCAAGCTAAAATGAACCCAGACTCCTTACCCATAAAAACTGAGATAATAGATATGTTTTGTTTTGGACAGCAAAATGTATAGTAATTTGTTAATAATGAGAAAACTTATAAAATCAGAACCTAAGGTATTTCTGAACCCTTTACTGTTTACACAAAAGACATGTCTTCCCCAATTTCTAAACACTTAAACAAGGGTAGAACAAACTTAACTCATTAGTTAATACCAGTCAAATACATGCACAATGGAAACATTTAAGAAGTACTTTGCTACATAAAACTGTTCCTATACTTCTTTTTTTTAACCCATTTGCTAATATACTCAATCACAGATATAGCCAGCATATTCAGTAAGTATAACATTAAGGGAATTCTCCTTATAAACACAGAATAATCAATATTTTAAAAGCTTGTACCTAATTAACAGTATTGGTAACCAAAAAACAACCCACTTACTGGTTACCAGGCTAAGCAATCAAATTGGAGGGGGCTGGGGACTTGCTGGAGGCACTATCCTTAGTACAAGGACTGGCTTTGCAACTAGCAAAGCATCAGAAGTACTCAGGTCAGGCACCTTTCATATCAGATGATGCCCAGTGCAACACAAACCACTCCTTCCTCTAGCCCACCTTCTACCCTGCAGACAAGAGAACTTTCAGGGGAAAAAAATAATAAAATAAAGCTGGAGGTGGAAGAAGGGGGGTGAAAGAGAATTTTCAAAATATTCCCAAAGCAGAAACTTCCAGGACAGAGCCCACACTTTAGCATAACAAAGCATACAACACCAGGTATCTCCTATAGTGTTTAAAGATATGTGGGATTACAAGTGAGAAACATTAACCGCCAGAGTTGTTCTTTTGGGCAGTGACAAGGGTGGTAGTTAGAAGTGTAATTTTTCTTATGAAGAAGCAGGTATTTCTCTTCTGCCACACTGCATAAAGGTTTTCAAATGAATTAAAGAAAATTCAGAAACAGGAAGTAGATTAATCACAATAACCCAAATTCAAATATTTTGGCACTAGATACTGGTAAGAAGGGATGACTGAGAATGATTCAGTAACAATTAATGGAGATAATTCACTACCTTAAAAACCTGCATCTTTCTTGAGGATTAGGAGAAATAAATCTGTCTAGAAATACAGATTTCATTTAACATATTCCATTTTAAGAGATAACCCACACTCCTTCAACATAGGAATCATGTTTCCTAAGTAACAAAAGGCGCCTGAATTAGAGTCAGACTACTGAAACACTGAAGGACACAACAGACCCAAACTCAAGCCAATTAGGAAAAGGCCGAAAGCAATTGAGTACCACCAGTTAACGGTCTAGATTAACGCATTTTACATTTTCACTTCTAGACTCATGGATAGGTTATAAGAGAAGCCCACATGATATTTCCAGAAATAATTTCCATTCACTGCTATATTTTATAGTCCTTTTTCAAATACCTTCCCTATCCTTGCTGGATCATTAAAAGACTATTCTACCACCCATAGTAACTGATTTTATGAACATTAGCAACTTGATAGTGGAAAAAATGTAGACATAAAATAAAGCCAAAAAAAATCCTAAAATACCACCCAAGGCTTTAAAATATTAGCCTATATATATCACTAAAGGCCTGTTTTAAAACAAAGGTGATAGACAAGAGAAGGCTTTTGTTCACTTTAATAGTATTAGACTCAGCAGTCCGAAAGAAGTAACAAAAATAAGAAAAACCGTTCAGTTCTAGGAAATTTCTGTAAACTAAAATATTCTGGATTAAGCACTTCTCTTCTGGTTCTCTCCAGAGAGAACTAAGAATGTATTCGCCTAAAATACATACTTAAAAACATAAAACTGACACAGAAAACCTCAATTTGGTAACTCATTATGATGAAACTACTAACAATTCAATTTGCTAGACTACTATTTAAATAAAGAAATGGTATATTGTTTAGGTTTTCTATAAATTACATGACAGCCCAAAAGGACAATTTTGCATCTTATTAGTACCGTATTTTCCTATTACAAAGTAACACAAATACCAATTAAGTTTTACAAAATTACAGCAAAACTTCCCACTAATTCAAAAATAATTCCTTTTCTCAATTTTCAGAGGGAATCACTTTATATATGCCCATTTATACAATTTGTAACTGAAGACATTGATACTATAATACACACTAAGAAATTAAATCAATGTGAAGTATAATCAAGTGCAATTTTTTACAGTAAAATTCATCATCTGAAAATAAATATAAAGTAAGATTCATCATCTGGCTTCCTAAACCTCAGGATGAGGAGAAATATGCTTCTATTAAGTTTCCCTGATAAACCTACCCATTGAAACAGAAGTAAAAATCTCAGTAAAGCAAATGCCAGTAGAAAGATGTATTTTTACGTTAAGTGTACTCCATCTCCCTGTGTCAACCAGGATTTAAGGTACTGGCATATTGATTTGTTCCTATCATATGATGGGAACAAGTAATTTCTCTGATCCCCTTCCACGCTCTCTCCAGTTTTTTATCTGAACTACCAAACACAGACTATTTGTTTTCTCAAATTTCAGAAAAATGATACATAACTAGAATCACTCTAAGAGCACAGGAGAAAAAAGTTAATTAGTTGGCCTACAATAGCTGCCTTAAGACATTAGGGCGCTATTCTCTGCAGACACCTGGTTAAGAAAGGCTGCCCCAAGTTCCACAGTATCACTGTGCTATTAGGCCCCAATCATCCTAACCCTGAAAGTACAAAAAGAACTAAGCGCAGAGAACTAGGAACTTAAATAAGAAAAAAGGTAAATTTGCTTTACTTCTACTTTTATGAACCAGGTCTTTGTCATTTGCTAACTTACTATGAATTAAAAACCTAAGTGTCAACTATTTGCCCCCTGCTCTGAATGGAAAGTATTTATTTTCAGAAAATAAACCCATACAGATATACTCTTTGTTAAAGGAAATTATTAGCCCTTTAATCAGTATATTTGAAATAAGATATTAATTTGACAAGCTTCTTACTTTTAGCAAACTTTTAAATACATCTTTTGATAACTGCTAAATGCAAATTTTCACTTTAAAAAGATATTTTTAAAAACCAGCTTATCCTTTATTCTTGCACTAATCTCCCATTCTCAAGAAACCGTCTTTCATGGGGGTGCCTGGGTGGTTCAGTCGTTAAGCGTCCGCCTTCAGCTCAGGTCATGATCCCAGCCAGGGTCCTGGGATCGAGCCCTGCGTCCAGCACCCTGCTCTGCGGAAAGCCAGCTTCTCCCACTCCCCCGGCTTGTGTTCCCTCTCTCGCTCTTTCTCTGTCAAATAAATAAAATAATCTTAAAAAAAAAAACAAAACTGTCTTTCGTTATTCCTCAGTGTAGTGGCTACAGCTGTGTTAATTAAGATCAAACTAACCTTCAACTGTGCTGATTATGATCAAATCACAGTAAGGAAAGCACTAGTTTTCTCAAAAATGAAAGTTTTTTTTAATGGCCCAATTTTATGAAATACCAATACTGCTATTTACGTAGCAAAATTATAACTAAAGTAGTTAAAGAGTTGTTCTATACTGAACGTGCAAAACAGCATTAAAAACATGAAAAAAAAATAAACATGACAGGGGCGCCTGGGTGGCTCAGTCGTTAAGCGTCTGCCTTCAGCTCAGGTCTTGATCCCAGGGTCCTGGGATTGAGCCCCGCATCGGGCTCCCTGCTCAGTGGGAAGCCTTTTTCTCCCTCTCCCACTCCCCCTGCTTGTGTTCCCTCTCTCGCTGTGTCTCTCTGTCAAATAAATACATAAGATCTTAAAAATAAAATAAAATAAAATAAACGTGACATTCCCATTCTCAATATGCTAACATGAATACTGATAGTACAGAATATTAGAACAGATAAATTACATTATTGAACATTCCACTTCACCAACTCAAATTTCTCGCATATATAAGCATATAAAAAAGGGGCCACAAAAATGGAGGGAATGGTTTCCTCAGATTCAGCTGTGCTCACTTGTGAATTTATGTAACATAATGCAGCGACAGGGGGATGTTTATGTTCTATAGTCGGCCTCTCTAATCAGATTAAACTTCCAATTTCTTCTCAAGAACTGCGAAGGAAAAGGTGTCTTGATTCGTTTATGCTATTAATCGTTTTGAGGTAAAGTAAATCACTACTCAACATAACTGAGCAGGCCAAATTAAGTTTCCTCAGATCAAGTGCACCCTTCCTGTTTCTACATAAAAGCACATCATTTTGCTATTAAAAATTTCCACTTATCACAAGTGACTTTTCCTGAACTCGCAGTCAACACTGCTTTTCCAAAAGCACCTATGCTTTTACGGTATCTTTTAGGCAGGGTTCCCATAAGAAACTGCTTTCAATTTTTAAAATGCCCTGTCCAAATTAAGAGGAACTCACATTAACCATTTTCTAAAGTAGCAGTTCACTGGGGTCAAAAATACACTTTTCCATCACACATTCAACCAATTAAACTGTATGCAGTAGGTGGGGCTGTTTACATAGACTTAAGGATTCCAGTTTTATATTAACAGTCCAACGGAGATAACTCCCTCCTTTATCAAATACTCGTATGCTCCTTTGAGACCCTCTGATTCTTGGCCTTTAAAAAAATGCTCACCCCTTGAGTCCCCAGTTAGAACTACGTTTGGCAACCGGTCTTCTGACTTCCTGATACTAAAAGCTACAAGCACGAGGGCTGTTGCATCGGTTTGTTTCAGAAACAATCTTTGCTCCATTCACCCCAAGGGGAAAACAAGGGCTTCCTCTACTGGGCACCCCGGTGTCTAAAAACCAAAGCCCAGGGAGTAGCGGGAGCGGCGCGGCCGGGGTTAAGCGGCGGTTCTCCTCCCCAGAGGGGCGAGCCGGCCGGGCCGCGCGGCAAAGCCGCGACGCCCAGGCTGAAGGAGAAAAGGAGAAGGGTAAACCCCAGCGCGGCCGTGGCGCACGTGCGGCCCGCGAGAGGCGGGGAACCGGGGAGCCGAGGAGGGAAGGGAGCCGTACCTCCAAACATGTGCGGCGAGAGGTGAGCTGGTAAGGAGCCGATCACCAGGCGCGGCCCGCCGGAGCCCCCGCCCGCCGGCCGGTCTCTGCTGCCGCCGCCGTCCTCGGGGCTGCTGTGCACCGAGTCCTGCGAGCCGTACGGGCCGCTGCTGCTGTTGGGGATGCTGAAGGAGGACTGCGCCGCGCGGGCCGCCGACGCCACGCTCCCCACGGCCCCGCCGAGGGAGCGACTGCGCGGGGCCGCCGAGGCCGACGCGGCGCCGCCGCCGGAGGCGCTGGGCTGGTGCGCGCCGGGCACCTGAGCCGGAAACCTCCCCGCGGCCGCGGCCCGCGAGCCCGTGCCGCTGCCGCCGCCCGCGGTCCCATTGGTCCCTCCGCTGCTGCTGGAAGGTAGATCCGAACCCGAGTAGGCACGGGTGCGGCCGTTAGCAGCGGCCGGGCCGCTCTGCTTGGCGCCCATGGCCGCCCTGCCCCGGGCCGGGCCCGCGCGCGGCGCCCCGAGCGCCGGGAGGGCGGGAGCGAGCGCAGGAGCGAGCGGGCAGGGCCGAGGCGCCGCGGCCGGCGCAAGGAGACGCCCGCACGTCCAGGGCCGCCGCCCCGCGCCCCGAAGGGCGGTTGGCGCCCGGCGCGCTCTTGTGTTCGGGGGCGGCGGGCGAGACCGGCGGCCTGTGGGAAGTCGCGGGAAACGAGGAGAGGAGAGGAAGGAGGTCGGGCTGCGGCGGACGCCACTCGCTAGCTCCGGCGGGAGGGGCGGCTCAGGTGGCTGTGCGGCTAGCCGCTGGTTTCGATTCTGGTGCGCCGCGACGGGTCGCTGCCGCTCTCTGCCGTCGTCGCCGCTCTCTGCGCCCCGGGCCTCGGTACCGCCTCCTCCCGGGCGGCCGCAGCTACCGCCGCCATCCTCCCGCTCACACGGCGGCTCGCGGGTGAGTGGGAGGCGCCCGCCCAGACTCCGCCGGGGCCACCTTCCCTCCTCCCCCAGCCACCCAGCTATTATTAACGGAGAAAGAGGAAAAACGGGTGGCGCGTGAGGAGAGGATGGAGGAGGGGAGGGAGGGGCGGCGCGCGCTTCCCGGCAACCGTCGCCCCACTCCCCCCTGCGAAGGAGGGGCGGGGGGGAGGTTCTGGGCCACGAAGGTGGGGGTGCACAGTAGGGGAGGAGGTTCCCCGGCCCTCGCACCGGAAGGCCGAGGAGCAGCGCGGCTCCAAAGTGCACCCGGACTAGGGTGTTTGGGTCGCAGGCGGTGGCCCCACCCCCGCCCCCTCGCGCCGCCCGGCGGATTGGCTTCCGCCGGCCCGGCCCCGCCTCCCCCGGCCGCGACCTTCCCGCCCCGGCCCCGCCTCGCCAAGGTACAGCGGTGTGGTAGGTGCCACCACCCGCGGACTCGGTGATGGACAGGTCGTTGGCCCCGCCCCCTCCTCCTGGACGCGCCCCTTCCTCCACGGCGGGGCCTAAACGGATTGGAGGGACGGAGCCCCTCGGGGCGCCAACCAGAAGGCGGCCCCTCCTCTCGCACGTGGCCCTGGGACCCTGGATTAGACCGCGTCTCCAAACTTCACGTTTTCCCAGCGGGGGCAGGGAATGGCTGTGTCCTAGGTCCTGAGCCTCCAGTTTGGGTGGGTGTTAACCTCCTCGTTGGTGTTACTAAGAGTGTGTCTTTTAAATAAAACAGAAGCTCAGCAATGTTGATGATAAAAGACTAAGAACCGCAAAAACATAAGAAATAACCAAGAAGGCAGAAGTCAACTCGATCTTAACTAGATTTACCCCATAAAACTGACCGTGGAGGAAGCGCAGTTGGAAGAACTAAAGATAATCCAGCCTGACCTTCAGTTGTAAGGCAAAAACCGTCGTGCAGAGAAAGCTGCGTCTGATTTAGGAGATCTGGGGTCTAGGTCTGGGATCAGAACTAAACTACGTGTAGTGAGCAAACTTTACCTTTTTGGACTTTAGTTTCCTGATCTGGCATGTTTGTATTAAATCCCTAGGGCCCTGACAGCTTTAAAATCCTGTAATTTCTCTAGGGGCACCTAGCTGGCTCAGTCACTAGAGCCTGAGACTCGATCTCTTGGTGAGTTCAAGCCCCACTTAAATAAATAAACTTTAAAAATAATAATAAAAGCCTGTAATTTATCTAAAATGGAATTTAGCAAAATTCTCAGTTCATTTCTAACTGTGATGTAGTATCTTGGTGGCAGAGCATGGTCTGGATATCCTTTTTGAAAATTCCTGAAGTGTCCACTATGTGAAAATAATAGCAACTGGTATTTTTGTACGAACTGCAAAAATAAATACCTTATCTTTTGTCCACATTTGTAATGTCATATATGTAAAGATTTTCATCATTCAAATATGAAAATTAAGTTTTCAAACAAAAGTGAAGAATATATGTATAGATAGATACATTGTGTATATATAAGACATCTGAAGATGTGAATGTATGCATATATTTATCAATATATATGTGTCAGTGTGTGCATATATATATAGGGAAATGGAAAAATAAAGCTACTCAATGGAAATCTAAAATTATTTCATCCTGTGTACGAGCTTACTGAAACCATTGGTTACTTGGTAAGCAGAGAAAAATTTGAAAGGCTAAAGTGGTAACCAGAATGACAAGTTCTAATTCAAGAAGGTATTTAGTGATTTGATCTGATTTAACTTTTATTGAATGAGGCCTTTGGTGTAAAACTCTGGTTCAGCAGGAATATAGAAAAGTAACACTATGATTTAAAAAAAGAAGTAAAGGACTTCAGCAAGTCTCTGACGAGCTAACAACTGGTAAGTTAAAGGATTTCACATTCATCATTATATATGCATTTTAAAAGTTTAGGTAACTATAATATGGAGCAAATGCCATTCAGTAGTTAAAACTATTAAATGAAAAGATTTAATGATAAAACTGTATGACTCTTAGTCATATTGAGATTTAATTATATTTTGCTTCATCACATCCAAACTTAGATTTTTAAATCATTTTTACTCGGATGGCAATTACACCTGAAAGCACTCAACATTTATTCCTAACTAGGAAAAAAAAATCTCCTGATAGCACCAGGTTTCTAACATTCACATCATCCACAAGAGCTGGAATTTTACATATGTCTGAACAATTGTTTGATTTATGTCCTTTCCTCACAAGACTAAATTCCCTGAGAGCATGGAAGGCATGTGGGTTTTTTGCTCACCATCGGCAGTGCTTGGCATACAGTAGCCTCTGGGTAAGTATTTGTTGAATAAATGAGTGGCCAGAGGGCGCCTGGGTGGCTCAGATGGTTGAGCGTCTGCCTTCGGCTCAGGTCATGATCCCAGGGTCCTGGGATCGAGTCCTGCGTCGGGCTCCCTGCTCCTTGGGAGCCTGCTTCTCCCTCTGCCTCTCTCTCTCTCTCTCTCTTTCATGAATAAATAAAATCTTTAAAAAAAAAAAAAAATGAGTGGCCAGAAAGTCGTTTACAGGCTGAATGTTGGACATAGACTAGAAATTGAAGCGGATCATGAAACTCATAAATATGTGTTTTGTGTTAGTCATGCCAGGCAGAACAAGGACAGGCTAAGCTACACAGCAGAATCAAACCACTAAACTTGAGGGTCATAATGCCTGGAAAGCACATTGTGAGCTCACCTGGTCTTCCCTCTCATCTCTTCAGATGGTTCCCCACCTGAGTGGCAGTCTTGGGTTTCTCTTCAAGTGGTGGCTCAGGGACCCAGGCTCTTACGCAGTGGCTAAGCAGGCCCCCAGGCTCCTCACAGAGCCCTTCTCTAAATCCTGTGTACCTGGCTGGCCAAAGAAAAAGGGCAGATATTGAAAGAAGTTTTAGCCAAGCCTGGAAGGGTATGTGTCCCTCCTCCCCACTATCCATGCGGGCAGAAATCAGTCACATGTTCTAACCCAACTGCAAAGGGGTCAGGAAATGCAGTCTTAGGTGTGTGCCCAGGAAAAAAAATAATTTTGGCAAGCACATAGCAGACATATCTTTGCCACACACACAAGAACAGTTGCCTGACTGTCAAATATCTAAGCTAAATATTAAATCTTAGTAAAACTTTATACAATAAAAGTTAAATGAAAAATTTCTCGTGACAGTTACTGTTATTAAGACATCAAAATGTAGTAAAGAAAAACTAAATATTTGTGTGCATGCAGTTCAACTAAATCCTATCTATTTTAAATTGTGTTTCTAGAAATGCCATCTAACAGAACTCTTAATTTAGCCATGTAGATCAGTGATCCTCGAAGAACAGTCTCCAGATTAACAGTATCTGTGTTGCCTGGGAATTTGTCAGAAAGGCAGATTATCAGACCCCCCACCCCAGACCTACTGAATCAAAAAGTGCTTGAATAAGCACTCTAAAGGGTTCTGATGCACATTAATGTTTGAGAACACTGATCTAGAGAATCACTGGTTAGTTTAAAAAAAGAATACCATGTTAAGATGTGATCATCATTTTGATTAAATGCCCTCTCCCTATGAATGTCCCCTGTGACCCCACTGCAACCACATCATCACAGACTGACTCCAGTATTCCCACTAAGTGCTATATTAATGCTTCCCTTCACAGCACTGATCATGCTGTTGATCTTGCTTGCTTGTCACTAAACAGTGCGGTCCGTAAGAGGCCTCACACCTATTCTATACCTCCCATACCTAACACAGTGCCTAGCACCTCTGATGGACAATAAATGATCTGTGAATGAATATTCTTACTTACATGATTGTTTCTTGAAGGTCACACATGACCTTATCTTATACTTATCCTCCTTGACATCTCCTCTGTGGTATATGCCCCCCCGCTCCTTTTCTCTCTGGGTAGGCCTTCTTGATTCTTTAATTCTTTCCCCACGAGGATTCTGGAGTTAGAAAACCTTCGCTTGCTATGTTCTTTGCTTGGCCCTCTTTCTTCCCTCCTCACTCTTTCTCAAAACGGGAATCCACATTAAGCTGTCAGTGTGTTTTATCGTCAAACAGTTCTGGCTTCATATAAAATTTGTCTCTTATTATATCCTACCAGTTCTTCAAAAATTAAAAGTGCTGCTTCATTTAGATCAGTACACTTGGGTGTACATACATATCTAGAACTGAAACAAGTTTTATGAGCTCATACCCATGCAACATGGGATACACTCCATTTTCTATTGTATTCCATTTCACTTTTGTAAAATGCTGGTCACCGCCTACAAAATTGATTTTACAACCCACTAATGGGTTGTAATCTGCAGTTTGACTAACGATGGTCTCAGTCCTTGCTTTGCAAGCTTTTGTGCACTGAAGAATCATCTGGAGATCTTGTTAAAGCAGACAGCCAGGCCCCACCCTCCATGATGCTCATTCTCTAGATCAGGATTGGGCCTTGAACATTTGCATTCTCACAAGCAGCCCAGCGACACTGGTGCCACAAGACCTCAGACTATGTCTGGAGAAGCACTGGATGCTTTCCTCTACATAATCAGAACTATTCTTTTTCATGTCCTCATGACTCTTAAGTAACAGAGCCCCAGCTCTTTAAAATTCCTAATCTTTTAAGCTTTTTCATATACTCTATTTTTCCTCTTCCTCCCATGATTAAATGGTGATAATTTGACCCATGACTTTTGGGGTTTGAAATTAGTTTGAATTGTTAAAGCACTGCACGTGGACAACATGGGTGGCCGGAAACCCACACTGGAGCAGATAAGCTGGTTGTAGGCTTGTCAGTAAAAATACCTGACTGATGAGGCACCTAGTAGAGCACGTGGTATAGTTGGTAGAGCATGTGGTATAGAGATTACTTAGAAAAATAAAAATCTTAAAAAAAAAAAGACAAAAAAAACTTGACCGATGGGTTTGCTGTTACCCAGTTTGGATTTCAGATGAAGTGAGTCTCTTCTCTTTGGCACTTACTCTTTTGTGTGCTTCTCTTTCCTCTCTAGCCCACTCTTTTATTTTAATTAATTAATTTTAATTAATTAAAACTTCTTTAAAATTTTAATTTCCATATATAGTTAACAGTGTTGTGTTAGTTTCAGGTGTACAACATAGTGATTCAACAATTCTGTATATTCCTCAGTGCTCATCAGGACAAGTGCCCTCCTTAATCCCCATCACCTATTTCACCCATCCCCCGCCCACCTCCCCTCTGGTGACCATCAGCTTGTTCTCTAGAGTTAAGAGTCTGTTTCTTGGCTTGTCTCTCTCTCTCTGTGTCTCTGTCTCTCTGTCTCGCTCTCTTTTTTTTTCCTTTGCTCATTTGTTTTGCTGCTTAAATTCCCACATATGAATGAAATCATATGGTATTTGTCTTTCTCTGACTGACTTATTTCACTTAGCGTTATACTCTCTAGCTCCATCCAGGTTGCTGCAAATGTCTTGTCCACTCTTTTATTTTTTTAGTAAGTAAATTATACACCCAAGGTGGGGCTTGAAACTCACAACCCCAAAATCAAGAGTTGCATGCTCTACCAACGGAGCCAGCCAGATGCCCCTCTCTTGCCCACTCTTTTAAAGGTGGCAGGGCAGAAGACGTGCCCCTCATTCGTCCCCTCAGTAGGG